GATGTTTACACATGTGCGTCTGGTTTATTTCACTTATGAGTACAGTCTTGAGTCAAAGCATAAAGTTTGAACCAGAAGAAAACCAGCAAGAAAAGCTGGCAAAAAGAGACACTGAATAAAGGACCCCTCAGGTTTGCCCCGAGTGGTCTGAGCAAAGAAGAAAGCACACCTCCTTTTTTTCTTTATGGCTTTACTTTCAAGTTTTAAAGTAGATAAATAGAACCTTGGAGAGGCATCCCTCCGCGATGTACTTGTTCTCCTCAGCTGTTCTTCCGAGTCTCTCCTGCTTCGTCTGCAGCGCTTCTCTTTGCGGCTCCTCTTCTCTCTCTCCCTCCTGCTGCCTCCGTTTTGCTCTCTTCTGCCTCTCTTCCGGTCTTGTTCGCTTGCTTTCCTTTCTCCCCGTCTCGGCTCCGGGGTGCTGAGCGCTCATGTTCCTGCGCCGGCTGGGGTGGGCTGTGAGAGGGCGGTGGGCTGTGCTTGTGTGTGGAGGCGAAGACAGGGAAGCACGTGCCGCTGGAGTAAGGAAAAGCTGTGCTGCCTCGGCGGATGATGATGACTCTTTTCCTCATCTTCGTGGAGGGCCGCGAAGCTGAGTGCTGCAGAGCCTCGTTGGCAAGGGCTGCCTTTCCCAGTGGGAAAGGCAGCTCAGATACACTTTCCTGTGCATGCAGAAGAGTGTTTGATAGCATATAAATCACCGGGCAGCAGTCTCCCTTTATCTGTGGGGCATGTGTTCCAAGACCAGAGAGGACGCCTGAAACTGCGCTGTACCAAGGCCTACCGCTACAGAACGGTACCGCCCCGCCACCCCAAATAAACATACGGATGATAACGTTTCTTTTATCCATTAGGGGTGGTGCCAGGCGTGGTGACCACGTGTAATGCCAGCACTTAGGAGGCTGAGGCAGGAAGATCACCACAAATTCAAGGCCAGCCTGGACTGCACAGTGAATTCAAAGCCAGCCTGAACTATATATAGTGAGACCCAGTGTCAAAAACCAAAACAGAGCCAGGTGTGGTGGTGCACACCTGTAATCCCAGTGCTCAGGAGGCTGAGGCAGGAGGATCATTGCGAGTTCAAGGCCAGCCTGGGCTACAAAGTGAGCTCAAGGCCAGCCTGAACTGCATAGCGAAACTCTGTTCTCAAACATACACACAAATAAATAAGGCATGGTAAGAGGTTAATGACAACAAATAATAAAACAAAATAATTGTAATAAGTAGATGTGGCTCTCTAAAAAATGGAATTTTTAATTTATTGCTTTTGGATTATAGTTGATTGAATAACCTCAGAAAACGAAACAGCAGATGGCAGAGGGAGACTACTGTACTTATAGTAGTTTTTAAAACTGTCAACTATTGATAACAAACTCTTGTGAGATTTAAGGGCCACTGATGATATCTTACTGTAGAAAACTTAAATCATCCAAGTTTCTTTAGGAATGTGAGGTATTTCACAAAATGCTCAAGGGAATTCTGGATGAGGGGAGCCTTGGAGGATGAGGAGAGGATATTTGGGGCCCTAGGGAAGTTTGCCCCCACCTCAGCCCTGCAGTCCAGACCCTTCTGCCACTCTGCACCCCAACCCCTGCAGTATGAAGGCCACAAAGAGCTCTAGGGAGGGAGAAGGAGGGGAGCACGCACCGGAAGCCCCCAGAGCCTTCACACTGCTCCACACAGCAAGGAGTGAGAGCTCTAGCTGTCATGGCGTCACTTGAGAGCCACTTACTGAAATCTTGGGGTGCTACCCCGAGGGCTTCTCTTGGCCCTGTTGAGTCAAGGAGCTGGGCAGGAAAAGGGACGAGGTCAGCTTTCCCCGCCCCCAACCCAGAACATTCTCAAATCGCCTTCAGGACCTATGGTCCTGACCTAGCTCTGGGTGGGTCTCCAGGCTGTCCCCTGAAGGCAGCCCAATCAGTCCCCTTGACTTACCTATGGGTGGTGCCAGCCTTGGCCTGGTGGAGGCGGCCAGAGTGCTGAGCAGTGATAGGGGCTGCAGCCCTGAGGGGTTCTCTCTTTCCCACTCTCCATGACTGAGTGAGTCCCTCCAGCTGAAGTCATGGGTACAAGGGATGTCATCTTTCCGGGAAGCGTCTTTGTCTAATCAAGAAAAGGAAGGCATTTGCACTCTGGTTCACAGCGCGCTCTTGAAGCTTACAGCTGACAGTTGGGGCTAGTGTGCGTCTGATGTGCCAGGCACCATTGGAAACAATCACATGCATTCGTGCTTTTTTTATCCTCATGACAACGTGATGATGGCAGTGCTATCATAATCCCATTTTACAGATGCGGAATCTGAGGTCCAGAGAGGTTGAGTCACATTATGAGGAGGCAGGGTCAGAATTCAAAGGCAGACAGCCTGGCTCCGCAGCCCACATTCTCACCACTCTATCATGTGAGCTAGACAGTCCCGGTACAAGGAGGACCAGCCTGGAACATGGTAACTGAGCAAATTCCCTAAGAGATAAGATTAGCTGAGCTGGTAATGATCATGAACTCAGAAGATCAAAGCCAAAGCTTGATCTTGGTCCTCCTGTTGGCCCTGGCTACCCAGTGGGGCCAAAACCTTGGCATCACCCAGGAGTATGTGAGAAACGATCATCTTAAGCCTCCCCTCCCCACGATGAATTAAGATCTGCATTGTAACGAGACCCAAAAAGTCTTTGTGAACTAAACTTGGGGAAGTGCTGTCATCACAGCCGCCCAAGCCATGATGGGAAGTTGAAAGGTCAGCCGCACAGGTAATAAGCTTTGGGCTCTCATTTTTCCAACTGTAGTTCTCTCTCCCTCCCTCTCTCTCTCTTTCTGAAAGTTCTAAAAGGGTGAGCTGTAATGGTACTCCCAAGCTCTCTGTCCTCTATCTGTCTGCCCTCCAATGAGAAAGGAGGGTCCAGGAGATACCCCAGAAGAGCACACTGGAACCAGCCTAAGAACATCTTGAGCTGGGGGGCAGTTGGGGTATTCCCATGATGCCAGACACCATGTAGCCCTGAAATTCTAGCTGTTCTCTCTAGTTCCAGGAATAAGTAAGAAATTCTATTTCTGTCTCCCTCACCACTGCCCTAACCTCATGGGAAATGTTTCGAGTATGAATATATGTGTAAAACCAGAAAAATGAAGCTGGGCATGGTGGCTCACGCCTATAATCCCAGCACTTGGGAGGCCGAGGCAGGAGGATTGTTGCAAGTTAGAGACCAGCCTGGGCTACGAAGTGAGCTCAAGGCCAACCTGAACTGCATAGCAAGACCCTGTCACAAAAAGACAAAAAAAAAATCCAAAAACCAAAAAAAGTGAGTTGCCATGGTGTCATCAGTCACAGAACATAAGAAAGCAGTCAGGCTGGGAGGAGCTATGGGTCAGCAACAGCTGTGCTCGTTAGTTCGCAGCGGGCAGCCTCCAGGCTGAACTTGGTCTATAAAATGTACTTGAGGGGTCGGGGATGTAGCTCAGTGGCACAAGGATGTGCCTTGCAAGTGCAAGGTCCTGAGTTAGATTCCTGGTACCAAAAAAAAAAAAAAAAAATTACTTAAAATGTGTTTGAGCACTAAGTGTTGGCCTATACCATTTTTTCTTTCTTTCTTTCTTTCTTTCTTTCTTTCTTTCTTTCTTTTTTTTTTTATGAGGCAGGGGCATGGTGCATAAAATAATCCAAATTTTTGGCTTTTCTCAGAAAATTGGCATAGCTGGCAATACCAGCAAGCATTCCGGCATAGCAGCAATTAACTGAAGCCGTAACTGAAACCTTCACCTTCTCATTGCCCCCACCATCCCCGCCACTGCCTTGTGTCTCCTCCATGTTGCAACCAAGGGGTCAGGTGCCAGCAGCTGTGTTAATTGTCATCGAGTTCGGAGAAAAGTTAGCCATTCCTGGTACCTATGTCCCCCAGAACTTTACCCACTTTTACCCCCTGCAGGTGTACAAGTATCTAAGCTTGGATTTTTTTTTTTTTTTTTTTTTTTTAAGCTTGGATTTGGATAAAAGTGAGCACAGGATGCATCGTCTTCTAAGTTTCTAAATAGGATATGGTGTTCTGGCCACCTCCTGAGCTAATGTGGATACCTAATGCATTAGAAGGCACATGATATGGATATTTATTGAACTCCCATTGTGACTCCAGGGTAATTCAGAGACATAAATACAATTTAGTATTCATTGAAGAATGAAGTCTACAACTAGAGAATAATGTAAGAGAGGCTAACAGCCAGGCATGGTGGTGCACGCCTGTAATCCCAGCACTTGGGAGGCTGAGGCAGGAGGTTTGTTGTGAGTCTGAGGCCAGCTAGTGAGCTCAGGGCCAGCCTGA